GCTGGAATAGAAGAAAGAAAGGTGTCAGCGTCAATTCGGTATGAGTGAGTGGGGGGGAGAAGCAAGAAAGAAGAGGGGGAGGGAGGGAGGGGAGGGAGGTTGAGACGGACGATGGCCGTGTGCATCGTCGTCGTCGTCGCCGTCCCCGGCGAGGCAGAACGACACAGTCCGCCTCATGCGCCTTCGCCGCGTAAGTAGAGTCGTCATCCGGTGCGGACGACGCCGAGTATGTGTTCATCAACGCCGTTCATCAATGCCGGGAGGCACCCATCCATCGCTCGCGTGCGGCGCTCCAGCTCGTCGCGAAGCAAAGGACGCCCAGCGTCCTGTCGGACAACGCATCTTGATGCTAGATCGACAGCACGCCCAACGCCGGCACAGGACAAGAGGCGCGCACGACACCCGTCAGGCGCCAGCAGCGGTAGGACGAGAGCATGATGCACCACCGTTACATCGTCTCGCCTCGCCCTCCTCGCCGCGAGGCCGATACGCCTCGACGTCCTCGACAGCGTCCTCGACAGCGTCCTGCAGCGACGCCTGCTCCTTACTCCGTACACGGTCTGCTCCCCGACATACACGCACGCACGCACGCACGCGCGCAGCCAGAGCGACTCGATGCCGCACCACTGGGGTGCGTGCACTCGACGCAGGTACACCCTCGACGCCGCACACCACCCACCACCCCGCCGAGGAGCACGACGACGCGCATCCCATATCCCGGCTCACCACCGCTCCTCGCATCCTCCCTGTTGTCTCCACCCGCTCCCCTCCCATCCCCCCCTCTCGCCGAAAACCCCCGAAACCCCGAACCCCCCGCCCCACAACAAATACCCTCCCATCACCTCCGGAAGCCCACAAATCGCAGAAATCACAGAACTCGCAGAAATCACACAAATCGCACAAACGCAACGCACCTAAACGCAGGATGATGCGCCTCCAACAACGGGCGGAGACACTTGTAGTGGAACGCGTGGCTGCAGGGCGCGATGAAGAGCGCCTGGCGGATGGAGACGGGGAAGAGGCCTGGCGGGCGGCATGGTCAGCGGGGGGTTGATGGAACGAAGATAAAGGAGGGGAGATGTAAGGAGTAGAGTAAAAAATGAAAAATGAAAAAGAAAAATGACAATGACAATGATGCGATGAGTAGGTAGCGTAGCGTCACCGCGCGGTCGGCGCCATCGCGCGCGCCAGTAGAGCCCCAAGCCCCAAGCCCGAGACGACGTACGCTGCGAGGAAGAAAATCCACAGCGCCGGCCGCAGAGGACGACCACAAAATCGGGGAAAAAAAAGTATCGTCGCCCCAACACGGACGAACGACTCCAGAAGAACAACGAAACCCCCACTCACAAATACAACAATCCGGAATCCCCCCGCCGTCCTTCCTCCGCTTCCCCCCCGGTCCTGCCGCTGTGCCTGTACCTGTACCTGTACCCGGCGCAGACGCAGACGCGGAGGAGGCATTGGCGCCGGGCGGCCCGAGGGCGAGCGATTTGAGGTTGTTGAGCGCTGTGGTGCTGAGGGGAGGGAGACGTTGGTAGGGGTTTTTTAGAAGAAGAAAAAAGAAATGGGGTAGGTAATGAGGAGTCAAGAGGGGGAGATGAGAGTGGAGAGTGGAGAGGGCGGGGCGCGATAGCCGACAGCGCTGCGGACAAATATCGAGCCTGGTCCCGGACACGCGGCCGGTAGCGACGCTACCAAGTCTGTGCGCTGCGGTGTCTGCGTCTGGAGCCCCATCGAGCGCACCATCGAAGCCACCACGTCCTCGTCTGTTTCTGCGCCACGGCCTCGACCGTCGACTTTCGCGCGCAAGTAAAGACTCCGCTACCCCCCCGCTATGGGTATCGCGCACGCGCACCACACGCCGCCGACGGGTAGCCAAGCTCCCAAACAAAGGGCAAGCCGCCAGTCCCGCGCCCACTGCTCCTTGGTCCACACACCGCGCGCGCGCGCCGTCCCAGCTTCGCGCTAGCCGCAGCCGCACATTCACGTCGTCACGCCGACCACGCCCGCCCGCCCGCCCGTAGAAAGTAAAAGCACATCCACCGGCCACCGGACCCCGCCCTTGTCGGTGTCAAGCACGCCGTACAGCGCACCCCCATCGACAGCCCGTCCACGCCCGCGATTCCACAGCACCGCTGCACAGCAGCACTCCTCCCTCATCTCCGACACAGTGAATCCAATCCACCACGGCGCAAGGTTGGCACAAGGTAACGCCCCCGAGCGCGGAATACGCGCTCCGCCCGATCCACACTTCGCGCTATCCACACTCCGTGCACGCGACACAAACCCACAACCCTCCCAAAAAAAACGCTTAAAACGCACTTAAACCCATTAACCCGCCCCTGCCACTCCCGCCCGAGCTCGACGCGGATCTTGACCGACTTGTAGATGTCCTCCGCGCCGCCCTGGTAGTCGACGCCGAGCTGGAGGATGTCGCCGTCTTTGAGGGGGTGGGGGCGGCTGTTTTGGGGGGCGGGGTTAGTGCGCAGAATCAAAGTAAGGAAGGCGTAGGTGGAAAGGACGGGGGGAGGGGAAGGTGGGGAGGGGGAAGGAAAGAGGGGGGAGGGGAGAGGAAAGCGGGGAAGGAAGAGAGGTAGCGTGATGGGGTGGTTAAAGTAAAAGTCGGGAGGGGAGAAGAGAGGGCACGATTTGTTGGGGAGGAAGGGAGGGAAGGTGGGGCGAAGGGATGGGAGCGCGAAGGGAAGGGGAAGGGGGAAGGTGGGTGGGTGGGTGGAAGGGATGGGGGAGTACGAGGGAAGGGTGGGAAGGAAGCGAGGGAGGGTAAGACGGGAGTAAAGGGTGGAAAGGGGGGGAAGGGTGGAAAAGGGGGGGAAGGGTGGAAAAGGGGGGGAAGGGTGGAAAAGGGAGTAGGGAAGTACGGGGAGTACGAGGAAGAAAGTGGGAGGAAAATGGGAGGACGGGAAGGAGTAGGGGAGTACGGGATGGGGGAGAAAGTGCGAGAAGGGATGGGAGCGCGAAGGGGAAGGGAAGGTGGGGAGCACGAGGGAGAGAAAAGCGGGGAAGGAAGGAAGCGCAAAGGGGTGGTAAAGTAAAAGTGGGGATCGGGTGAAGGGAAGGGGAAGGCCGGGGAAAGGGACCCAGCCGCAAATATGAATACGAAAGAAAAACGTACCTCTCCGTCCCCGCGGGACTCAGCCGGACGTGGTTCAGGAACGTGCCGCTGCTGCTCTTGGTGTCGCGGATGAAGAACTTGGGCGCGGCGCCGTTGGTACCTGTTTTTTTTATTTAAAAAATAGCATAGGTGCGGGTTAGCGCGCGGCAAACAAATGGGTAAAGGTGAGAAGAGGGAGGAGGAAGGACGTGTAACACCCCCCAAAAAACGAAAGCTGAGAAGAAAAAGCGCGCGCGCCCCATCCACACCGGACCGGCGCGCGCCCGTGCAGAGAACGCCAAGAAAGCACCAATAAAAAGCGCAAGCGCGGCGAGAAGAAGTCGGCCCGCGCCGCGCAAAACGGGGGTGGTGGGTCCCGGCCGCGGAAGTCGAGAGCGAAAGTGAGCCCAGACCCGCAGGTGTGCGTGAAGCGCCGTCCGCCTCCCGCCTCCCCACTCCGCATGACAGCGGACATCAGTAGCAAAACAACGTCAAGAGAACAAGAATGAGGAAGGTGGGGACGAATGACACGCAGACAACAAGGCAGGTGGCGGGGGACGAGACACGACACGCACCCTCCTCACACCACACCTCGGCATGCGCCCTGCTGACGACCTTGCTCTTGAAGGCGATCTTGGAGCCATTGAGGGCGTTGACGGCCGAGAGGCCCAGGCCGCTTCTATCCGTAAATCGACCTGCGCCGCGTTAGCGATACATAAAGAGGGGCGAAAGAGGAAGTAGGCCACCTATCCTCAACGCGGGATCCAACGGCACGGGGCGCAAATCGCGGCTGATGGGGTCGAAGCGCAGACTCCTGCGCGAGTCGAGGTGCGGGACCAGGCGGATGCGGTGCGTCGGGCCCCCTGCTGCCGTGGCATTCCCTGCCCCTGCCCCAGCAGAACTAGAAGGCGGCGGATGCGTGCGACTGGGCGCCACGTGCGGCGCCGGCGTCGGCGGCACCACCCCGCCTGTCGTCGTCGGCGTCGCGACGTTCCCCGCGCTGCGCCGCCTTCGCAGCATGTGGCTCAGATTCAGGCCGCCCCCGCCGCCGGACGACGGCTGCGGCGCGACGACGACGGCGGGCGGCGCGGGCCGGCGGCGGTTGCTACTGCCCCCCCGCGGTCCCGCCGCCCTGTCCCTGTCCCTGGCCAGGCGACGACCCAAACGCCGGAATGCCCATCATCACACCGACGTTCGCCGCGCTCGCGTTCGCGGCGTTGGTCGCGCGCTCCCGCGCCAGCTCGCGATCGCGCTCGCTCGCAGCCATGCCCGCGAACGGGTTCATGCCGGGCGGGGCGTGGTGCGGGGGGGAGGGCGACATCTCCCTGGTGGGGTGCGGGTGCTGGAGGGTGGGCACCTCGATGTGGGACTGCGAGCTGTTGCGGGGGCGGCCGCGGCCGAGGAAGGAGCCGAGGATCCCGCCGCCGCTGCTGGTGGCGCGCGCTGCTGCTGAGTCGGGCGTGGGCGAGTCCATTTCCTGTCACTGAGTAGTCCGAGTAAGAGTAAGAGTAATCAACCGCAAGAACAACAGGAAGAGGCTTGGAAGGCGGAAGGCGAGAGCAAGGTGGGGTCGATGGATGATGCGCGAGGGGCGTGACAGCGTCACGACGACAAGAGACCTAAAGAGGATTGCTATCACCGGGAGCCTCGCTGAGCCTCGTCCAGGTCCGAGAGGCTTTCTTCAAATCGATATTTGGGTTTGCGGCCCCGACACCGAGCCTCCGCTCCACGTCCGACTTTGACGCATATGATAAATTGAAGAATAGGCAGGCATCTCACACCGCCAGCGCTGGTTATTTTCACCGATCATCCCTGCTGCTCACCCCTCATTTTATGGACGGACGCCCCCACCGCGAATGAACCAAAAAAGTTATCAGGCCCTGGCTCACGCGGATGCCGGGAATCGAACCCGGTTCTGCTGTCTTCAAACTTCAACAATGACAAGGAGGACAGCCGTGTACCATGCACCACACCCGCTTTCCTGCCTACATTTAACCTCGGCTAGGCACCACAGATTTTTCCAGCCAATTAAGGCTTAATATTTCGCAACTTACATTGCTACGGTAAGGGTAGACCAGCCATCCCATGTGATACCCCCCCCCCGGGCCACCGCTTCTCATTCGAGGCAGGGCTAGGTGAATACAAAAAAAAACCTGATGAATAAACCGCAAAAAACACATAACCTCCTAATGCGGATGCCAGGAATCGAACCTGGTTCTGCTGTCTACAAGCTGGCGATTGAGCACGACCAGGAAGGGCAGCCGTGTACCATACACCACACCCACTTTCCTGCCTCCTTTGATTCTTGGTAAGCTTACCACCACAGATTTCCTTGCCAATGCTAGCTTAATATTTCACAACTTGGAGCCCATTTACATATCAAATGGAGGGTAAGGGTAGACCACATTTGAGGCAGGGCTGGGTGAATACAAAAAAACCTGATGAATAAACTTGAAAAAAAACGGAAGAAACACCCCTATGCGGATGCCGGGAATCGAACCCGGTTCTGCTGCTACAACTTTTAATCTTTCCCGACCAGGAAGGGCAGCCCTGTACCATACACCACACCCGCTTTCCTGCCTACATATAACCTCTGCTAGGCACCACAGATCTTCCCGGTCAATGCTGGTATTATAATCATTGCACAAGCCCAGTTATGCTGTGAGCGCGATCTTCTACGAACAACACGCGTCATTTGAGGAGAGGCTAAAAAACCTGATGAATAAATTGAAAATAAAATAAAATAGAGATACCTGAAAAAAAAAGCTAGGGGAGACAGACATGAGTGTGGGTGCCAGGAATCGAACCCGGTTCTGCTGCTACTTATAATTTATCCCGGCCAGGAAGGCCAGCCGTGTACCATACACCACACCCGCTTTCCTGCCTATGTTTAACCTCTGCTAGGCACCACACATTTTCCCGGCCAATGCTGAATATCTTACAACTTGAGCCCATTACATTAGTAAATGGAGGGTAGCCGTCCCATGCAATACCCCCCACCCCAAGTTCTCATTTGAGCAGAGGCTAACTGAACGCACGAAAAAACCTGATGAATACATTGAAAAAAAAGGTAGGGCATGCCAGTGCGGGAGTCGGGAATCGAACCCGGTTCTGCTGTCTTCAAACTTCAACAATGACAAGGAGGACAGCCGTGTACCATACACCACACCCACTTTCCTGCCTATATTTAACCTCTGCTAGGCACCCCTGGCCAATACTAATATTTCACAACTTGGAGCCAATTTACATATTAATAAATCATGATGAGGGTAAGATCTAGAGCAGACCAGCCGTCCCATCCAATATTATTACCACACACCCCGTCTCATTTGAGCGGAGGCTAACTGATGGCACGAAAAAACCACACACATAAATTGAAAAAAAAAGCACATAACCTCGTAATGCGGATGCCAGGAATCGAACCCGGTTCTGCTGTCTTCAAACTTAGGATCAGCACGATGGGGAAGGACAGCCGTGTACCATACACCACACCTGCTTTTCCCGCCTATGTTTAACCTCTGCTTGGCACCCTCGGCCAATCCTCAATATTTTACAACTTGGAGCCCATTACACCTTATATTACTAGGGTAAGGGTAGACAAGCCATCCCATCCAATACCTCCCACCCCTTCTCTTTTGAGCGGAGGGTAGGTGAATACAAAAAACCTGATGAATACATTGAAAAAAACACATAGATGTCTTGTATGCGGATGCCAGGAATCAAACTCGGTTCTGCTGCTACAACTTTCATAATCTCTGCCGACCAGGAAGGGCAGCCGTGTACCATACACCACACCCACTTTCCTGCCTACATTTAACCTCTACTAGGCACCAGTGACCACAGATTTTCGCAGCCAATGCTTAATATTTCACAACTTTACACATTGAATGGAGGGTAAGGGTAAACCAGCCGTCCCATGCAATACCCCCCACCCCTTCTCGTTTGAGGCAGGGCTAGGTGAATACAAAAAACCTGATGAATACATTGAAAAAAACACATATAGAAACACCCCTATGCGGATACCAGGAATCGAACCCGGTTCTGCTGCAACTTTCAACGCCAGTACGATCAGGAAGGGCAGCCATGTACCATACACCACACCCGCTTTCCTGCCTACACTTAACTAGTCTCTCTTGACAGACGCTCTATCATACCTAGCTCGTACCTCGCTTGATAGAGTCTGTTGGTTACCGCGTAAATTACCCGGTGGCCTGCGTTATTACAAATCATCCGCTTTCGGACATCACGTGTAGGATTAAGCGACGCGACTTGGACGCGTTTTGAGATACCCATGATGTTCGGACGTGAATTGAAGGTGTAATTCTCCTTTTAATGGAGAAAGATAACTTCTTGAGGGTTTCCTGGAGTTCCCCGAGCCACGCACCCCCAATATGAATATCTTTTGGCGATTTTGTTCTATTTTCGGTCCACTTCCCCAAAACTATCCTTCGACGGGAGGTAAAGGGCGGACCCACCATAGATAATACTTGTAGCAAGATGAGGCAACTCTGGGGACCTATCCGAGCAAGGCAACCCGAGAAACGCGTCGAGACGCGTCTCGCTAAGGGCTTGTTTGGGCATGCATCCGTGATGGTTACATAGTAACGCCGGCCACCGGGTAACGGACGCGGTAACTAACAGACTAACACTTAACCTCTGCACTTAACCTCTGCTAGGCACCACAGATTTTCCCGGCCGATGCCAATATTTCACAACTTTACACATTAAATGGAGGGTAAGGGTAAACCAGCCGTCCCATCCAATACCCGAGCCCCTTCTCATTTGAGGCAGGGCTGGGTGAATACAAAAAACCTGATGAATAAACTGAAAAAAAAAAAAGGAAAAAAAAAATCCAAGGAGACAACAGATGTGGGTGCCGGGAATCGAACCCGATTCTGCTGTCTACAATCTCCCAACTGGAAACAACACATGAAAGGCAGCTGTGTACCATACACCACATCCACTTCCCTGTCTACATTTAACCTCTGATGAATAAACCGCAAAAAAACACATACTGTAACCTCCTAATGCGGATGCCGGGAATCGAACCCGGTTCTGCTGCTACAACTTTCAACTCTGCAAGCAGCGAGACCAGGAAGGGCAGCGGTGTACCATACACCACACCCGCTTTCCTGCCTACATCTGACCTCGGCTAGGCACCATATTTCTTTTCGGGCCAATGCTTAATATTTCACATTACATATTTAGTAAAAGGAGGGTAAGTGTCAACCAGCCGTCCCATCCAATATGTCAGCGACGGCACTTTAGGTCGGCCTGACTGCCGCGGAGCCAAAACACAGCCATCGTCCCAGCGCGGGTGTTGAGGGGAATCCGTCACCGTCTCGATAGCGGGTGACCGCCTGCTGAGGATCCGTACCAGTTGAACCGTGGGAAGAACCCGAACGATGCGTGACCAGCATGTCACACAGGAAGAACCCGGTCCATAGTCACCGCATGTACTCGTCTGACCGGGTTATTCCAGGGTTTGTTCAACAGGAGAGGTCCGAAGGCAGGAAGTGTCCGATTTGAGTGTTCTCGGACACATGTAACTCCAGACCGAAAATACGAGTGTTCCAGGATGTCGTGGTGTCGTGTTCGATGATGGGCGCTATGCCTTCTGCCCATGCAGCCCTCTGCCGGATAAAATCCCGAGGTACTGCCTCGCTAATCCGTATGGACGCGAGTGGTGAGGACATGTTCCGATACCGAACCACTAAGCCCTTAGGCCGTGGCAACCAATCGTAGAGGTCAGGGGTTAAAGATAGGAGCCAAGGGTTGCCAACAAGTCAACGACGAAGACCAGGATGGAAGGCAGAGCCAGAGGCAACGAGAGAGACAGAAGCAAGACAAGCTTAAGTCACACACAAGTCCAATCAAGGCCAAAGTAAGGCCGGAGTATAGACGAGGTAGAATCTACTGTACAAGGAGATTCTACCACTACTTATATACTGTATAATAAAGGGGTCCGATCACAGGAACAACTGTAGTCCTGACACCGATTGGCAATGTACATAAAGGGGTATGTCGAGGCGTCATGTGGAGCTAGGGCACGATCCCTAGCGACACAAAGAAGTCAATATAAAACATTAACAAATGAAACCAAGGTGAAGCATGATCCTTGGCGACGCAAAGGAGTCAATATAACCCATTGGCAATTGAAACCAGTGTGACAAATAATCCATGGCAACACAAAGGAGTCAATTCAACCCATTGGCAATTGAAGCCAGGGGTAGAGTCTTGGCGGCGAAAAGGGGTTGTGATGTGGTGATGAACCAGGGAATCCTATCTGTCGATCCCGGTCATCCTATCTGTCGATCCCGGGTTATCCTATATGTCGATCCGGGTTATCCTATATGTCGATCCGGGTTATCCAATACATCGATCCCGGGTTATCCTATCCACGGTAGGGAATAAGCCGGAAGCGTCCGGGTTATTCCAAAAAAGGAAAAGCAGTGCTGCTTTTGCCCGAATCATGACATTACCCCCCCCTCTTCAAGGTCGGTGTCCTCAACGACATAAGTTTTGCAGTCGAATTTTTGATTGGCCTCATTCTTCTCTTCTGTGAAGAACCCAGGTAATAGCCTGGTTGTCCTGGACATAATTGGCCTTTCTCAACCCCTGTTCTTCAACCTGTCGTGGAGTCCGCAGCCTTGATTCCGGGGAATAAGTCGGGTTAGGCTGAGCCTCATCCTGTCCCCTTCCTCATTCTGTATCTTCCACCGCTGGCAAACAGGTGGTATTCACCTACCCACTCGCCAGCACCCAAAAGTCAAAGATCAGCCGTGATTTCTCCATTCGAAGAGCCTTGAGCCATTTCCCTGGGAAGTTCCGGCGATATCCATGATATTGTAGGGCTTCAAGATGTGTTCCTCATCCATCCAAGACCGTTGTGCGTTGTTCTTGAAATTTGTCCCGGTGTGATGCTCGAGATCCACAGGCACAACCCGCATGAACTCCATCCCACTGACCGGGTTATCGAGTCGTTACATTCGTCGTTCGTGTTGTATTGGTGAGGACCCGGAGATACTGCTGAATTTCCGGGTTGACTCATTTCGATTTATGAATTGTAGGCTTCCAGCGTTGAACTTGACACACAACCGCTTCGACGAATTGTGCATGAAATGCCCAACACAGATCTGATCTGTCCCCACTCCAACTGCTACCGCCTAGACCCCGAGGGAATCCATCTGCCTGAGTCATGTTGAGCTCATGGTCAGTGGTTCCCTTGTGTACATTGAGCATCCCGGTCCATCGGCAAATAACCGACAGCACATGGAGCTGTACAATGGCCACTTCAAGGTATATCCGCTTCCCCCCGCCACACCTGCAACCGTGTGATAACCCGGCCACATTCCGGGTTATTGATTCGAAACCGGACTCTGGCGCTTCCGAAGTGTTGTCTCCTTCCCGAGTCAGGGGCACCATGTCCCCGGCTACAACCCAGGCTTCGACCTTGGTTGTAAATTTGTGTTCCATCCAGTTCCAACCCCAGAAGCAGTTTCTTCTGTACTGCTCACATGATCGACGCGTCACATAGCAAGGACATTGTCCACCACATCTTTGCCCGATACCCAAGTATGCGATATGCAAGGGAGGGCAAAGGAAAGGCGAAACCGTCCGTGTTTTTGGGGTTTGAACCACTACCACTCTCGAGAACACATCTCGAGGGTGCGGTTTGTTCGTTGCGCCACAGAAATTCGGAATATGTCGACTTCCATGTCCGAATTTTGTGGTGACCAAAGATGGTCCGAAGTGTTACGTTGCAAGGAATGCTCTGCTTCCTCGACTGCTCAAGGAAGAGATCGTTGCAATGGCGGAATTCGAGATGGGGGGCTCCAAAGGGAACTGACTTTCAGCTCTGTGTCCTGCCACTCGAATTCCAGCTCTCGTGCTCCAATTGTTTTTTTTCGGTCCAGCATATCTCCACGCCCTCCATTCCAGCACCACCAGTAGTGCCCAATGTAGGTCTGCAGCACCGAATTGTGAAGCAGATGAAGGGGAGGTCCTTGAGTTTTACTGTTCCAGGTGTTGTCCATGCGTCTGAGTGCAGAACCATCTCTTGCTGGTGAAAAGAGCCCAGGCCTTCTATGACCCTCCTGGCGCTCCCGGAGTGGCCCTCCCCGAAGGTCAGGCCAGATTTCTCCCATTGGCTGCTGTAGAGGTTGGGACGGACTCAACGTTTCCCGTGCCTCAAGCGCCGTTCACCCGAGTGGAGGTTCTGCAGTTTGTTGGGGAGCCGATACATCTTACGTCGGCAAAGCGTACTAGAAGTCGAAGGATTGGGGATGGGGAATGAAAGAGATAGTCGTCCACGGTGCGGCGAAAACAAGTCCAGCATAACAGCGGTGCCCAAAGGCCAGCATGAAAGTCTGGTCTGTTTCGCCATAGCTGGTCGAAATTCTGTCAAGTATCACCAATCCGTTGATCTTCTTCTTCTAGTCCCAACAAGATTTCCGTCGTGATGACCACGGCATCACCGTTGTAAAATTCTGAGTCTCCAGATGCGAGTGAGAGTTCAGATATTTTGCTGAGAACCCGGTGGAGAGTAAAAAACCGGGTTTATGGAGGGTGAGTCGAAACACCCCCAGATCTTTGCCACGTCGTGCTTGCCAGAATAACCCGGAGTAACCCGGTGCCTTCTGCACTGTTTCTGCGGGTTTGTGCTGCCAGGATAATCCGAATATCTGGCAGCCTTCTGCACTTCCATTTGAATAGTGCCCTTCATCCAGTTGACCACTGCGAGGTTCTGGATATCTCTGCGATAGGAACCGCTTCAGTAAATGCGGCCCATGTCTTGAGTTTGGTGGACAACACTTCCACGCGACGGCATGTACTCCCAAAGGTTGGGAAATTTCTTGGCCTTATGTTCGCATCGGTGAGGAGATATAAGCCACTCTGAAATCCGAAATTTCAGGAGCGCAGATCAATCCCTGGCCGAACCTTCGAACTGCCATTCATCCATGAGAGAGGGAATCCACCACCACAAGGCATGTGCACACAACTGATATCACCACAATGTAGATGGTGTACCACATTCATGCACCATCCCAGGGTTATCCCTCCCTTCCGCCATTCCACCTCAACGCAGGGCTGGTAGAGGAGATTCTACCTTCTGTCAGCGACGGCACTTTAGGTCGGCCTGACTGCCGCGGAGCCAAACACAGCCATCGTCCCAGCGCGGGTGTTGAGGGGAATCCGTCACCGTCTCGATAGCGGGTGACCGCCTGCTGAGGATCCGTACCAGTTGAACCGTGGGAAGAACCCGAACGATGCGTGACCAGCATGTCACACAGGAAGAACCCGGTCCATAGTCACCGCATGTACTCGTCTGACCGGGTTATTCCAGGGTTTGTTCAACAGGAGAGGTCCGAAGGCAGGAAGTGTCCGATTTGAGTGTTCTCGGACACATGTAACTCCAGACCGAAAATACGAGTGTTCCAGGATGTCGTGGTGTCGTGTTCGATGATGGGCGCTATGCCTTCTGCCCATGCAGCCCTCTGCCAGATAACATCCCGAGGTACTGCCTCGCTAATCCGTATGGACGCGAGTGGTGAGGACATGTTCCGATACCGAACCACTAAGCCCTTAGGCCGTGGCAACCAATCGTAGAGGTCAGGGGTTAAAGATAGGAGCCAAGGGTTGCCAACAAGTCAACGATGAAGACCAGGATGGAAGGCAGAGCCAGAGGCAACGAGAGAGACAGAAGCAAGACAAGCTTAAGTCACACACAAGTCCAATCAAGGCCAAAGTAAGGCCGGAGTATAGACGAGGTAGAATCTACTGTACAAGGAGATTCTACCACTACTTATATACTGTATAATAAAGGGGTCCGATCACAGGAACAACTGTAGTCCTGACACCGATTGGCAATGTACATAAAGGGGTATGTCGAGGCGTCATGTGGAGCTAGGGCACGATCCCTAGCGACACAAAGAAGTCAATATAAAACATTAACAAATGAAACCAAGGTGAAGCATGATCCTTGGCGACGCAAAGGAGTCAATATAACCCATTGGCAATTGAAACCAGTGTGACAAATAATCCATGGCAACACAAAGGAGTCAATTCAACCCATTGGCAATTGAAGCCAGGGGTAGAGTCTTGGCGGCGAAAAGGGGTTGTGATGTGGTGATGAACCAGGGAATCCTATCTGTCGATCCCGGTCATCCTATCTGTCGATCCCGGGTTATCCTATATGTCGATCCGGGTTATCCTATATGTCGATCCGGGTTATCCAATACATCGATCCCGGGTTATCCTATCCACGGTAGGGAATAAGCCGGAAGCGTCCGGGTTATTCCAAAAAAGGAAAAGCAGTGCTGCTTTTGCCCGAATCATGACACAATACCCCACCCCTTCTCTTTTGAGCGGAGGGTAGGTGAATACAAAAAACCTGATGAATAAATTGAAAAAAAAAAGGGGCGAGAGAATGGAGATGGGTGCCGGGAATCGAACCCGGTTCTGCTGTCTACAAGCTGGCGATTGAGCACGACCAGGAGGGGCAGCCGTGTACCATACACCACACCCACTTTCCTGCCTCCTTTGATTCTTGGTTAGGTACCACAGATTTTCCTCGCCAATGCTTAATATTTCACAACTTGGAGCCCATTTACTAGGGTAAGGGGTAGTAAACCAGCCATCCCATGCAATACCCCCCACCCCTTCTCATTTGAGGCAGGCCTAGGTGAATGCAAAAAACCTGATGAATGAATTGAAAAAAAAAAAAACATAGAAACAGGTGTATGCGGATGCCGGGAATAAAACCTGGTTCTGCTGCTACAATTTTTAATCTTTCCCGACCAGGAAGGACACCCGTGTGCCATACACCACACCCGCTTTCCTGCTTGGCCTACATTTAACCCCTGCTAGGCACCACAGATTTTCCTGGCCAATGCTTAATATTTAACTTTACATTAGTAAATGGAGGGTAAGGGTCAACCAGCCGTCCCATGCAATACCGGCCACCCCTCCTCATGAGCATTTGAGGCAGGACTGGGTGAATACACGAACCTGATGAATACATTGAACATAAAAAGCTAAGGAGACACGCATGCCGGTGCGGGAGCCGGGAATCGAACCCGGTTCTGCTGCTACAACTTTCATAATCTCCGTCGACCAGGAAGGGCAGCCGTGTACCATACACCACACCCGCTTCCCTGCTTACATCCAACCCCCGCTAGGCACCACAGATTTTCATTTACACAATAAATGGAGGCTAAGGGTGGACCACCTTTGAGCGGAGGCTAACTGAACTCACGAAAAAACCTGATGAAGACATTGAAAATAAAAAGCTAAGGAGTCACACATGCCAGTGCGGGAGCCGGGAATCGAACCCGGTTTTGCTGTCTTCAAACTTAGGATCAGCACGATGAGGAAGGACAGCCGTGTACCATACACCATATCCACTTCCTGCCTCCTTTGATTCTTGGTTAGGTTGCCGCCACAGATCTCCCTGCCAATGCTTAATATTTCACAACTTGGAGCCCATTTACACATTGAATGGAGGGTAGTCGTCCCATGCAATACCCCCCACCCCATGTTCTCATTCGAGGCAGCGCTGGGTGAATACAACAAACCTGATGAATAAAAAAAAACATAGAAACAGGTGTATGCGGATGCCAGGAATTGAACCCGGTTCTGCTGCTACAACTTTTCAATGTATCCTGACCAGGAAGGGCAGCCATGTACCATACACCACATCCACTTTCCCCTCTATTCAAGCCCAGGTAGCTTGAGGCGCAAAAAAAAAAAAAAAAAAAAAAAAACCTAACCCCGCCACAACCATCCATCTGTCCCGCAGTATATTTATTATGCACTGATGCACGGGATGTTTCCAAGGACCGTCAACTTTCTCTATACTTACCTCCCTCCCTTTGTTTCAACACCATGCTGGGCGCCCACTGGACCATGAACTACGAAGAGAATGAACAGGCAATTATTCCTGGGCCCCTGAGGAAGACGACTCGTAAAAATATGGTTCTCGATTCCGACACGATGTGGGTGCCGGGACTCGAACCCGGTTCTGCTGCTACAATCTTCCAACTGGAAACGACACATGAAAGGCAGCCGTGTACCATACACCACACCCACTTTCCGGCCTCCTTTGATTCTTGGTTAGGTACCACAGATTTTCCTCGCCAATGCTTAATATTTCACAACTTGAGCCCATTACATTAAATGGTACTAGACCAGCTGTCCCATCCAATGCACCACACACCCCTTCTCATTCGAGGCAGGGCTGGGTGAATACAACAAACCTGATGAATAAATTGAAAAAAAAAAAAGGTAGGGAGAGAGAGAATGTGGGTGCCGGGAATCGAACCCGGTTCTGCTGTCTACAACTTTCATAATCTCCGCCGACCAGGAAGGGCAGCTGTGTAGCATACACCACACCCACTTTCCTGCCCACTTCAATTTTGGTTAGGCACCACAGATTTTCCTGGCCGATGCTTGATATTTCACAACTTGAAGCTATATTAGTAAACGGAGGGTAAGGGTCAACCAGCCGTCCGAAGCAATACCGGCCACCCCTTCTCATGTGAGGCAGGGCTGGGTGAATACAACAAACCTGATGGATAAATTGAAAAAAAAATGTTGCTCTAGTCGCGACACAGATGTGGGTGCCGGGAATCGAACCCGGTTCTGCTGTCTACAATGTCACATAGGACAACGAGGGATGGCTCATGAAGGGCAGCTGTGTACCATACACCACACCCACTTTCCTGCTTTGCCTAGATTTAACCCCTGCTAGGCACCACAGATTTTCCCGGCCAATGCTACCTCAATATTTCACAACTTGCATTACTAGGGTAAGGGTCAATGCACCACACCGCCCTTCTCATTTGAGGCAGGGCTAGGTGAATGCAACAAACCTGATGAATAAATTGAAAAGAAAAAACTAGGGAGACCGGGATGTGGGTGCCGGGAATCGAACCCGGTTCTGCTGTCTACAACTTTCATAATCTCCGCCGACCAGGAAGTGCAGCCGTGTACCATACACCACATCCACTTTCTTTCCTACATTTAACCTCGGCTAGGCACGACAGGTTTTCCTGACCAAATGCTTAATATTTCACAACTTCGAGCCCATTTACATTAGTAGATGGAGGGTAGCCATCCCATGCAATGCACCACACAGCCCTTCTCATTTGAGGCAGGGCTGGGTAAATACAAAAAACCTGATGAATACATTGAAAAAAACACATAGATGTCTTGTATGTGGATGCCGGGAATTGAACCCGGTCCTGCTGTATACAATCTCCCAAAGGCTGGAAACAACACATGAAAGGCAGCTGTGTACCATACACCACACCCGCTTTCCTTCCTCTCTTTAAGCGGAATCCCCAGTACAGTAGCTTGAGGCGCAAAAAAAAAAAAACCTAACACCACCGCAACCATCTATCTGTCCCGCAGTATATTATTAATTCTCTGATGGTAGACGGGATGTTTCTAAAATTTTGCTCACACCGAACGGCGGACCAGCCAGCTTGCCAAAAGGATAAAGAGTGACAACGGGGAAGAAAAAGGGTCAGCAGGTCCTTCAAGTGGGTGCCGGGAATCAAACCCGGTTCTGTTGCTACAACTTTCAACTCTGCAAGACCAGGCAGGAAGGACAGCCGTGTACCATACACCACACCCGCTTTCCTGCCTCCTTTGATTCTTGTTTAGGTAGCACAGATTTTCCTCGCCAATGCTTAATATGTCACAACTTGGAGCCCATTTACTAGGTTAAGGGGTAGTAAACCAGCCATCCCATGCAATACCCCCCACCCCTTCTCATTTGAGGCAGGCCTAGGTGAATGCAAAAAACCTGATGAATGAATTGAAAAAAAAAAGGGGGGCGAGAGAATGGATGTGGATGCTGGGAATTGAACCCGGTTTTGCTGTCTACAAGCTGGCGATTGAGCACTGTCAGCGACAGCCCTAGGTCAGCCTGACGGGATGTCGATATGGAAATAACCCGGCCGGGACCTTTATACGAATAACCCGGCTAGAACCCGGGGTGAGCGCCGAGGAGGGGATGTAGTCGGATAGCCACAATAAGGGGCGAAGTCCGGTGTATGTCCGCTCGAGGTGGAACCCGAAAAGACCCGAAGGCGGTATGGTACGCGCCCAGATAACCCGCACGTAGGGTTACCGATGAGAAGATGAATGATAGTATACTGAGAGTCGTTGCCCAGTGGTGAGAAGACGCTTTGTTGTTGCCAGGCCAAAGTACAGCTGGTATTAGACGAGGTAGAATCTAGAGTACAGGAAGATTCTACCTAGTATATATACTACTCTGTTAATTAGGTATCCAAGGTTTCAATTGAAATACCAATCGGCGTTGATGAGACAACGTATGGCACACAGGAGTGTGATCGAATATATCTCCACGATGTATTGGCTTTTAGGGTTTGACACATGTCGGGTGTCCGATCGTCGATCCTTGAATATCCCGGGCGGTTGTCAACTGTCGGTGTGTGTTACCGTCGTTTCAGGGAATATTCCGGGTCCGTCGCCGTGTGGATCCAGGAGTATTCTGGGATGTTCCTTTGGAGTTCGGTTGTCGTATGGAAAACGGGGGTAGTAGGGAAGGAAATGAATGGGTTGTGAAAACCGTGATTCATGACACCAGGGTCCAGCCACAACCATCTATATGTCCCGCAGTATATTCTCCGATGGTGGACGGGATGTTTCTAAAATTTTGCTCACACCGAACGGCGGACCTTGGGATCTGACAAGGACCAGCCAGCTTGCTAAAAGGATAAAGAGTGACAACGGGGGGGAAAAAAGAGGTTCAACAGGTCCTTCAAGTGGGGGTGCCGAGAATCGAACCCGGCTCTGCTGTCTACAATGTCACAAGGGACAACGAGGGATGGCTCATAAAGGGCAGCCGTGTACCATACACCACACCCGCTTTGCTGCCTCCTTTGATTCTTGGTTAGGCACCACAGATTTTTCCGGCCAATGCTAGCTTAATATTTCACAACTTCCAGCCCTTTTACACATTTACTAGGGTAAGGGTCAACCAGCCGTCCGAGTCCCATGCAATGCACCACACAGCCCTTCTCATTTGAGATTTGAGGCAGGGCTGGGTGAATACAAAAAAAAACCTGATGAATAAACTGCACAAAACACATAACCTCTTTATGCGGATGCCAGGAATCGAACCCGGTTCTGCTGTCTTCAAACTTCAACAAAGACAAGGAGGCAACAAGGAGGACAGCCGTGTACCATACACCACACCTGCTTCAAGTTTGCTGCCTACATTCAACCCCTGCTAGGCACCACAGGTTTTCCTGGCCAATGCTTAATATTTCACAACTTACATTACTAGGGTAAGGGTCAACCAGCCGTCCGAGTCCCATCCAATACCCCCCACCCCTTCTCATTCGAGGCACAGCTGGGTGAATACAAAAAACCTGATGAATAAACTGAAAAAAAAAGGAAAAAAAAAATCCAAGGAGACAACAGATGTGGGTGCCGGGAATTGAACCCGGTTCTGCTACAACTTTTAATCTTTTCCGACCAAGAAAGGCAGCCGTGTACCATACACCACACCCCTTCTTTACCTACATTTAACCTCAGCTAGGCACTATATTTCCTCCCAGGCCAATGATGCTGGTATCATGATCAAGTTATGCTTTGAGCGCGATCTTCTACGAACCACACCCGTCATTTGAGGAGAGGCTAAAAAAAGTGTTGTCAATAACTTGACGACCGTGACACAAGAAAAAGCTCGTAAATGTCACCAGGCCTGGTGTGTTGGCGTGGGCTCGAACACTGTCGGAAACACCCAATTCTAACTTGATCAGCTAGGGTTGAACCAAAGGTTGAACTTAGCAAGGTACCACTATTAAAAACCTGCAGACAACCAGGAAATGAGTACAAGGGATTCAAACAAGCTCTGAAAGCAAATACACACCTCCCCTTTAGCATTCCAATAGAGCAGCACAGTTTTTCCAACCAAAAGGCACGGTGTGGGTGATTTTTTTTTCGAATCGATTTGCAACGGTTTTGTGTGCTCTCGCGAGATGGCTGAAAACCATCAACAAGCGGATTGCCCTAGACTGCCTTCTTTCCAACAAGGCAAAATATGGGAGCAAATCAGTCAATAAAGCTTCGGTGCTTAAGACATGGCAAAAGACACTACTCAACGAAGACAGACTCCTTGAAGATTGGACCAAGGAGACCGGGGTTCTAGCGGGTGTGGGTTAGGTGTTGATAATGATGATACAGAAATGGATCGGAGTCAACGCTTAACTGAAACCCCACACGGCGCCTGCGAGAAATCGAGTGCATGTGCGGCTGCGCATTTCCTCGGGCGGATATTGTCGGCTGGGTTCTTAGTCCCGGCTTCTTTTATGGCGGGAGGAGGGGCCGTCCTTGGCGGTCCAAGGATCTGGGTGGCGGGTTTCTGGGGAAGTTAGAAGCAGCCCAGTGGGGAAAGCTCGCAGAGCGTCTTACTGTACCTTCTCAATTTAACGTCCCACAAAAAAAAAAAAATTGCTCTCGCGATCGGTGACCCGTGACATATTCGAAATCTTTCTGGAATTTTGAGGCTGGTGACGCGTGTTGAGCGAAATGGTACAGTACTCGATGTTCAGTGGGATGCCGCAGATCGTAGTATTTGCCATGAGGAACAGTGCTAAAGTATAGATACAGCTCGTGGTCGTCGGAGAAAAAAAATTGACCGAAACGTCGAAAGTGAGCGAGAAGAAGATCATCATGCAGCAGCCACCGAAACAGAGCCTCCAGTAGACCCGGCGATGGCGTTCCCCTGGTCATCGACAGCCTCGACATTGCGGAAGTTCTGGAGTCCCAATGAATTGTTGTCAGAAAGAAAACAAATTCAGGATGTGAAAGACTCACAGTCGCGATGCCGAAGAATCCGTTGAACGTATCAGCATCAATTCCCTCCTTGGGCGCGGCCGCTCCGGCGGCAGCCTGTGCAGCTGCGCACGTCGCCTTCGCCGTCGCATCCGCACCACATGAGTTGGTCAATGTATCACAGATGAACTGTGTGATGATACCAATGGCCTGCGCGGACCCGTGGTTGAAAGACGCCGTGTCGACGGGGCGGAAGCTCGTTTCCTTGCGACCGTCGAAGCCCACACCAAACTCGATTTGCGGGACGGAGCATTTGCCTGGATGGAGGAGTATGAATTAGCAGCGATGAGGACACGAGGAATGCCCATCGTAACGCACCAAAGTTTCCGATGGAGGCGGAGGAGGAAGCAGCAGCAGCAGCAGGCGGGGCAACGGCGGCAGTAGCGGCGGCACCAGCAGCAGCAGTGACGGCACCAGCGGCAACGGGCGCAGCATCGGGGGCAGCCGCGGCAGGTGCAGAGGAGCCAGAGGCACCAGCGACAGCAGCAGTGATCTCATCGGCAGTCGCGTCTAAGGACGCATAAA